CAGTAATGTGTCGTCTCCAAGGAGCTTCGGGGAGCTCTCATTTCGCCTTTACATCTACAGACACAGCAGGAGATGTTGGAGTGAATTGGCAGCTACTTCTCTTCTCATCTATTCTCAGATAAGTGAGTAAAGTTTGAAAGAATTATAGGAATTTATTTGGTTTCATCCAGAGTAGCTGCCATAAGCATGATTACTTATACAGCCTTAGCAATGTTTACACAACTCCCTCAGTGACGTGAGTCAATGTGGCAGAGAGTTATGGAAAACACACAGGAGGATGATGCTTGAGTTTCAGCTCCCATTCATTCATTCATTCATTTAGTCTAGTTTCACAACTATAATGCAGGAAGGAACCAATTTGATAACTGCTTTGCCTATATGCATCCATGTGTGTCTAATTAGACTTTTGTTAATAATGAACATTTGAATAACTATTTTAATTACTTGCGACCAAAAGATGATGAATAAAATGATGAATTACATTCAACAGAAAAGTTGAAAAGTGCTTAGCACACCCAGTTTATTGGGTACTTTTTAGTTAAGTTGTAGTTTTGAGCTATGGACTGTATGGATCAGATGCGCAGCAGTGCAGATCAAAACTATATTGTTATTGCAGGTACTTTATGAAGGGGTTTATGCAGTTGAGGAGAACAAGTATTATGAACAGTGGCTGAAGGCCTTTGTCTAAAAAAAAGAGCAAATAAACAAATCAAATACGTTTTCGAATGGAGATTAACTACTCTCTTAGTGTTCATCTTAAGTTAGTACACAAAGTACCCTCAATGTATGGTTAGTGTTTTATGTAGTTTTTAGAACATTACACTGTAAACTCTGTGCCTTGCATTTCCGTTCATCCAGAGTTATGAGGGAACATGTTCATGTGGCTAACGATCACAGACTATGCTGTACTTGCTCCTCCTCCTTCAGCCAACTCTTCTCCTTCCAGACATGATTTGCGATCTTGCGGGTTCTGTTTCTGCACTGAACAACACCAGTCCCAAACTCCTACTTTTATAGGTGCCAATGAAATAAAAAGCAACAAAAGATCATCAGCCTTATGTTGAATTCAAAATAAAATCACTTTGTATTCGCAACTTAGTGATGAGCAGAAAGAGCTCATCTGCATGCTCCTCTCATGTCTAACACTGGTCACTTTCCGTTGGTGGTCCCTCATCCCAGAGGGATAAGCTCACTGGTGCCTGTCTGACTGTATGCCAGCAAAGTATACAAACAGATTAAACACACAACATCCATTTAAAGCAGTCCATATTGCTTTGTTCCTAATCATCCGATCAATGATCATTTCAAATCCATCCAAGTTGTAGAATTAGTCAATCTTGGCTTCTCTACATTTGACAGAATAAAAAATGTTCCTTGCATATCTTAGTTTCATATTTTCCCAATGGTGAAACATTTGCTCATTGAACGAATCATTTGAGTGACTGAACTGCTGCAAGTCACCAACCGATTTGTTCATTTCTCAGTTCAGATGAGGTCAGCGCGAAGAGTGGAAGTAGAAGTTTTGTGTTCTGAGAATGTATGAAAAAGAAAATCGCACAATGATGTATTCGCCTGACATTGTTAACAAACAATGTCAGGCAATGTCCTGCCTTTCTCTATGGACCTGGCTTGTCCTCTTTGTTCATGCATGAATTCTTACCAGGTACTAAGGCTTTCAGCCAAAGTCCAAATGTATGTACTTATATTTAGGCTAGTTGACATAATACTGCATTAGAGAAACATTTTAGTCATTTAGAAAATATTTCTGAGCACAATGTATTTTAGCTATGCCTGATATTATTTTATAATGCACTACTTAACTACTTAAGACTGTAAAACATGGAAAATTATGTTTTTTGAGACTAAACATCCTCTAAGCAAATGATGTTGAAGATTCTGACTCTTACCATAACCTTCTCTGATGCATTAGTGAGAAATGTTTTTAATCTTGGCCTATCACTTATTTTTGTCATTCTATGAAAATGCATTTCTTTCTTTTTCCATACAAAAGTTATTTTATTTGAGATATTTTTGTATCATAAAATACATTATGATATAAACCTGACTAACCTGAAGAATCAGAAATACTGAAGAAATTACGAACCATTACTCACTAATCCTCAGCCAACCCAGAATAACAAGGAAAGCACACACACACACACACACACACACACACACACACACCACACGCAGACCTTCTCAAATAGCATTTTTGACACAAGCAATAAAATAACAAAAATCTGAATTCTTGCTCAATATTTTCACAATGTATTGCACAAACAGCTGATGCAATCTCACGTAATTACCTTCTTGTGTTTTTACTAAGTGATGCAATAGCTAGAGAGATTTTACCATAATACACTTTACACTTGTATTGATTAGAATAACTGTTTAAACCAGTTGAAAACGTAATGGCTCATAAACGTATTCACACCCCTTGAATATTTGGGCATTTTGTCACATTATAACCACAAACTTTAATGTATTTAGGTGGGCATTTTTGTGTGTAAAACTCCAAGTGGTGCCTGTGCTCAGCCTCCTTGACGCCACACTTTATATCCATCTTCCACTGGAAATGCTGCTGTAAGGCTCTAAGCTTATGTTCATTTACTTATCATGACCATATGACATGGAAAAGAACAAAAAAACATCAAATAAGAACAAAATGTAGCAGCAGCAGAAAAAATTTGCAATGCAATGCATGTCACATTATTCAGGACTGTATGTGCTAAAAATGCAAAAACCTTGTACCTTTTTCTTTCATCTTTCACGGTTACGCACTGTTTTTGTTATTAAACTATCTGACTACGTAATTAGTTTATTGCACATACACAACAATGCCTAAACAAAATAAATGAAATAATTTCATAATTGTAATCACCAAAAATTTGGGGGAAAAAAAAGAAAATGAAGAAAGAAAATTGTACTAAAAGCATCCAGCTGGATGAGTAAAATTAGGAGGAAAAGGTCTTCATAAACTTGGCAACGGTATTCAGCTCTGTTTTGCTCATCCTGCTCCTTGTGTTGCGTTAATGTTGCACATTCAGATAAATTTACTGGGATGATGAAGGTTACACAGCTTGTTTTGACACAAGGCTCCAAAGAATATCACACATGAATACACCAGACTAACTCCTTTTTCATCCTACGGTGGCATTAAATGTCTCAATGCCATCTGGTGCAGGGAAAATAAAAAAAAAGTTTCACTTTTAAGGAAGACCATCCTAATTGGTAAATGTTTACTTGCTGCAGCTCTCAGTGGGCAGGCACACAGCTTTTAATGAGTCACTAAAGCCTATGGGCTCTTTAAGCTTACTTTAAGTGTGTTTCCAAACAAACTCAACCCGGGGATGAACTGTTGATAATGGCTTGTAAGGGGTGAAACACAGCACTGAGTGATCAAGCACGCACACAAGTACAATTACCCTTTTACTACTGTTGTGTGTGTGTTTTAGCAATTCTCACTTTGTAAGACCCATTTTCCAACAATTACTGCATTGTGAGGACCCATTATGGGGCAGAAAGCCCGGGCCCCTTAAAGAGAAGTTCTATTTTTGGGTTAGGGGTTGGGTTTAGAAATGAAATGGGAGTTGAGTTTAGGTTATGTGAAGGGTCAGGGTTAAGCTATAGGAATGACTGAACAATGAATGGAGGCCAATGCTGAGTCCTTGTGAAATTAGAAAGATATACTACATGTGTGCGTGCGTGTGTGTGCGCGTGCGTGCACAGTTTTGTTTGGTATTAATGCATGTCTTATAATATAATTCCATTCCCTGATGTTCCCTTTATGCTCTGGAAAACAACCGTTGGTAAGGGACTTCTAAGCATCTAAAGCAGGGGTGGGCAATCCTGGTCCTCGAGGGCCGGTGTCCTGCAACTCTTAGACGTCTCCCTGGTCCAACACACTTGAATCCAACAGCTGAATCACCTCCTATGTGCAGTCAAATTCTCCAGAGTCCTGCTAATGACCTCATTATTTGACTCAGGTGTGTTGAAGTAGAGACACATCTAAAAGTTGCAGGAGACCGGCCCTCTAGATCAGGAGTTGCCCACCCCTGATCTAGAGACTCCGACCTATCGTTGGAAGTAACAAAATCACCTGTATTATCCTAAAAATGCATCTGGAAATTCAAAGACAGTACGCTCGAAATTGTGTAATATGTTGGTTCATCAAAGAGTAACCTCCAAGTTATGAAATGTAACAAACATTTCAGTAAAGTAACCCTTTATTTCAGGAACGTAAACCTGTAACTTTTGGAAAGTATCCTTCAGGAAAAGTAACCCCCCCAAGCATGGGCGATAACCTCTATGTTTTAGGAAAAGACAAGGTTATAATTCACCTCCTCAGTGTCAAAGAGCAGTCCGTAAGAGGTTGAGTAACCACGAAGTTAAAAAAAAACAAACAAACAAAAAAAGCACGGCAAAAACTTCTACAGGAGTTTATTTTACGTTCCTGCAGTGCTTCCCCTAATTTCCATAAAGTTATATGTTGCAGGTAATAAAATCCAGGTGTGTAAATTCAGCCAGAATGTAATAGAACTGATTGGAAATAGAGAAAATCTAAATCCTAAATAAAGTTTGACAAAAAAAAAAATAAAATCAAGTATTTAATGTGAACATACATTGTATCATTTCCTATTAACAGCTTTGTGAAATTACAGTTTCAACTTATGCATTTATGGTTATGTTTGCTTACTGTGCCTCAAGTTATATAAAAGACCTCCTCTAAATTGGGATCACTTACATCCGTCAGTATTTGCCAATTTATCTGAACTCATCTTTAATCTGTGTTTACGCATGTGGAAACGTGCGTATGTGCGCTCCGGCTGCACTTAGAACTTGTTTCCTATTGCTCACCGGGTCTATACACATTAATCTCTGCCTCCACGGCACCGTATTGCCTCATACGCTCCGCTCTCTATCCCTGACCCAATATGCTGTGTGATCCTGCCTACAGCCTCATTTGTCTCCATCAGGGGACAAGCGAGGTTACGACTCACCAAAGCGCAGTACGTCTCAGGCGGATCTCCACACGTGATGTTTGGGGGGTCGAGGGCCACTCGCAGGTACTTTGTCATGTCGGTGGCTTCTGGTTGACAGGCCATGTAGTCCCATGCCAGGCCCTCCTCTGTATAGATCTGGGACTTGCACACGTCATAGTGTCCCCAGACTGCAGGGTAATGTTGCATAGCATGTGTCACACTGGTGCACACAGCCTGCAGGGTGAGTAATATAGGCCAAAACATTGCTGATCTTTTTCTTTGTGGCTTTTTTAGAATTCCTCTTCTAAGTTTTCTTTGTCTTTAAAGCTGCAACTGCCTCTTTGCTGTACCACAGGGAAGGCTCTAAATCACTTGAGGGTCTGAATGGTGCGATGAAGCATTTCGGAACAGTGGAAGCATCTTGAACTCGTGTGTGTGTGTGTGAGCAGATTCGGGCAACTATTAACGTCCACGTCGTTATTCTGGCTTTGATTGGCAGCACATCTGACTGGCTGATGAGATGTGCCAACAAGTGAGCTTTCTCAACAGTGCTGATCACTGATGAAAAGGTCAACAATCGGTCAGATGTGATGTTTAGAGAGGAGCAACACTTCTCATATGTCAGCAGATTCTGATCTTGATCGTCCGTCAATTGTGGGGTTTGCCACTGGCAGCATCCTAAAAGACAGGAGACGAAAAAAAAGACAGTTGGAAAATGTTAGCACACTAAAATACTACAGACATAAAACCATCATTGCCTATCCTCACATAATCATAGGGTGGTAAAACACAATCCAAGGTTCTTCTATCTGTACGTAATGCTCAGTAATGACCATGTCGAAACCACTGCATACAATTTAAATCGAACTTGCTCCATAAAGCATAATCTCCATATGATTTTCATACAAAAAGCCTTATTTCCATGTCTCAAGTCCCTGAGTTTAAGTTATAGCTCTTTCCGACTCCTTCGACACCCTTTGTGCAGAGCAACATCTGTCTAAGCCCCGTTAGACGCATTTTGGATGCATTAAAGTAAAACAGTGAGACAGAAATGGTTTATTTGAGGTATTGTACGTTTCCCACAGCTTTCACAAGCCATCAGTCAGATGATGCAACTCATCAGGCAAAGGTGACTCGCAGCAGTCTTCAGAGACCTATATAATCTTAACATAAAGAGTGCATCAAGAAGAACAACTGCCTCTGAAATAGGAGATTTGGACTAGTGGAGTTATCCTCAGGGTCGTTTTGCTGTGATGAAAATGAGTTCTATATATTCAGTGCCAAAAACATAATTTTAGTAGCTTATTTTTACCACAGAGAAATTTAAATGTGAATTTTATTTTCATTTGGAAAAAAAATCTGATGCTAAAAAATAACAGTTTTCAACAAAGACACTAACTGTTGGCACATGTGACATCTATTTAAAAAGCTAAACGTGTCCATATCTAATGTTAGAACAAAATGAACATGTTAAGTAATGCTGCCCGAAGACCTGATGTTCCTGTCATCATGCCATGAAAGGACAGTAAGATGGCTATGGAAATCTCTATCAAGGGCAAACACATAGTAACATAGCCATAGCAACAAATAGGTGCTACCTGCTATCAATCTATTTGTAGAAAGCATCCCAGAAAAAAAATAAATAAATAAAAAATCTGCCCTACCTTTTGGTATTTGGCCAGATGAGGCCAAGATTAAGCATTTTTGGCAACAAAGACTTCAGGTTGGATAGCATGAAGCAAAAAATGAAGATGTGGAAAAGTAGCTTATGACCTTCTGAAAAAAAAGTAGCTTATGACTGTAGTTGGGAATGTGTTAGGCTATGAGTCTGTCAGACCTAAATCCTAAATGAAACTTGTGTGGTATGCTGAAAGAGCGAAGTATTGGTGAGAACCCAAAACTCCAGATGATGTAGTGAGATTGTGCAAAGAAAAATAATGAAAGCATCCCACTGTGCTCCAACCTTAATAAACGACTAAGAGTGTTTGTACAAGGAGACGGTAAAAAATAGTAATAGCAGCAGTATCAATAATCATGCCACCAGAGATTTTGTTGAAACAATAATTCATCAGTCATCTTAGCTGACTGAATATATGTAATCTGATTAAAGGTTGAGTTGGAAAAACTAATAGATCGTTTCAATTTAAGGTCAATTACCTCTCGAGAATTCACAGCATCTAAAATGTTTTCTTCCTGCTTTGCTGTGTTTTTAGCTCCATCTATCTTCCAATAGACTCTGATTAGCTTTCTTGCCCCTGCTGAATAAAATAATCCTCCAAGCATAATAATGCCAGCCCGATTCATTGGCATGATGTGCTTAGGGTGATGTGGAGTCTTACTTTGTCTCTACACATGTAAACATTTTGGCCACAAGGTTCAATTTTGGTTGCATTTGCCCAGAGCACTGCCGGTCACATTTTCAAAGTCTTTATACTGAGAATGACTTAAAAATGTGCAGAGCATTAATTGGGAGCATGGACCTTGTTGAAGGATTTGATTTAAAAAATGAAGAACAAGAACTTACAACAACAAAAGAACATGGAGACAAGGGGAATGCAGTGAGCCAGAGTAGAATAAAAACCACAGGAATCCAAGAAATAAAGAGTGGCACAGAAACTACAGCAGGGATAACGAGGCATAATGGGAGGAACCAGGAAGGAGAGTGAGGAGCAGAAGTGTTTAAGTAATGGGAGAGTGAACGTGGAACAATGGACCTGGGCTGATTGGCTAACGGCCTGCAGGTGTGAGGGGAGAGAGAGTGAGAAAGTGGCACAGGGGGCAACCGAGAGTACACAAGGCTCTAAGTCTAGGAAATGAATCTAACACTGAAGAATAACAAGACCTGACAAGCATAATTAAACTAAATGAACAAGGAATACCTGGACACAAGAACCAAAGTTCAGAGAGGACTGAACCAAAGTAAAAAAAAGAAAAGAAACATGGTCAGTCTAATCAAAGAAAAGGAACTAAACAACACAGGAAGTAACAAAACCCAAAACCAACTCAAACGTGAACCGCAATGAAGTATGTTTATTTGAGTTATGAACTAGTGACAGCTGGCTAGACATGTCGATCCCTACAGGATTAAAGGACGGCAGCCTCCATTCTGAAAAGGAGAAAATCAGCCAAAGAAAGCCGAAAGAAATTTTATTTTAATATAGCTCCTGTCAAGCGAGAGGACACCCAACAAGAGGCCTGCTAGAAATTTGATAACACAGCTAGAACTCTGAGTGATGAATAAAACTCCCCATGAAAGAAACTTTTGTATTATTTTCAATGAATATAAATGTCAGTCTCTGATCATCGGAGATGCGCCACAGGATCAGCCTCTCTCATTTTCAACACACAAATATCTCTTCACACTTCATCAGGCTGCTTCATAATCCTAATGATGACGTTCACAATGCTCCATGTCAAATTAGGTATCAGCTGCGTGTAGGGGTGGTCACTTATCTTCTTATTTAAAAGAAACATTTATGATTAATAAGAGGCAGCAGTTGGATTCGCCATGAGAAGTTAAGAGTTAATCTTTCCCACGTTGAGTAATGACATCTTCACAGAACTACTATTAAGTAATGCAGGCTTGTGAAAAAAAAAATCGTCTAAAATGCAAAACAGTTCAAATTTATCTTTAGCATCATTACTTTACCCTGAGGCACACATTTCTGCAGGTATAGTGTAAAGACAGCACAACATATTACAGCCTCTGTTCAGAGTTTGATATTACCAAATATCGTCTTCTACTCCTGTTTTCCCCTTTTCTCATATCTCTGCCTCGGTGACACTGCTCAAAAATGCGGCGAGCAGCTCGGGAATGCCATAATTTCACCGCGAAAAAAAATACGAGGTCAGATTCTATATTAAAAGTCATAAATATTTAAGCACCTCTCCATATGCAGGGAGAGGAAGAGCCACCTCACCTCGATCGCTCTCCCACCCCTCTCACCATCTCTTTCACTTCACTTTTCCTTAAACCCCTGAAACACCCCCTTGTGTCTGCTTGCATCCTGTCCCCTGGGCAGCTCAAGCATAGCAGAGTGTTTTAAAAGTCAGCAGACGGCCTGTCGTGCCCCATGGCTCGTAATGGTTACGAACTCCCCCTGCTAGACTCTTAAGAATCATTCCGGATGGGTTTCATTCATTTTATAGTCATCCTGGTTAAGTACAGCTTTTGACCCCTTCAACGACTGTGACTTTCTGATCTCAATGTGATAAGGGTCACATCCCTACCTGCAAGTATCCACAAAAGTTTGAAAAAGCAAACAAACAAAAAAAAGCATCTTGATGAAACAGCCTGGCGCTTATTTTGTTGTTTATCTTTCAACAATTTTCCACCTGGTGAGGATTTTTGCTTGTACACACACATACATGCACAGACAAACACAAACACACACACACACACAATTCCTTTTCATTGTGTTTATTGATTGCATTGACTTCCAAGCAATCACTTCTGATCTGCTGCCAATTTAGGCAGACTGATGTGCTTTGCTTTGCTCTGGCTGATGAGAACAACAATAAATGGATAAATTCTCCCAACATCCTCAGAGCCAAAAGCCAACCCCTCAATATGAGTCACAGTGGGATCCATTGGCAAGCAGAAACACGTCTGTGTGGGAACATGTTTTTTTTTCCCTTTCCTTCTTCAGAATCTCACTTCTCACTAAGACCTCCATTCAAGATCTCATCCTTTTCTGTTTTAGTCACTTAACTGTTTCTCTCTGTGTGTGTCCCAAAAGCAAGTCCGTGCACTCAAACCACCTGCACATAAAAAACACTATTACTGCTCCACCTTTAACTTCACCAACAACACCAGCCACATTAGCTCACTTGTTATTTGCAGGGAAGGTTTTTTTTTTTTTTTTTTTTTCCCCCCCCAGCACTTTTCTGCAGAAGAGCCACGATTTCACCGAGGGGACGTGAGTGATGTGGGGACAGTGTGATAGTCCTGCAGCCACAGCCAGACAGCTTATATTTGAAATATTCTGCCATGTATAATTCAAAGTTCTTCTTCTGGTCATCTAACATGCAAAGAAGCACACAGCATATTAGCAACAGGGGCGGGTGGGGGCATGTAAAACCCCTAAAGCTGTGTTTTTGCCTCTTTTTCCCCCTCAAGATTCTGGGTCTGCAAAAGGGGGTTCATGATGGACTATCCATAGTAAAGCATGCAAACTATGCATAATATATAACATAAAAATAAATAAATAAGTAAAAAATGTTGCATTGAAGCTTGTATTTTTTGTTCCAAAAGTATTCAAAAAAGGCTTTGAAAAAATGTGCATAGATAACGAAGCAATACATACATGTTAAATTGAACACTACCTTCTATTTTATAGGAATATTCCATGTTCCTTTTCAAAATTTATAAAAACTCTGATGACCATTTACGATTAGCAAGCAGTACACAAACGAGTACGTTTTACAGTGAAAAATAAATTGTCTGATCCTTTCCTCTGTGCCAAAACTGTTTTAACCAAACTGACACGCTTTAGGGGTGACCATTGTTCCCCTTTGTGGCGGCTCGTTGGTGACGCCACTGGTTGGCAAAAACAAACACTATAAAAATCCGACACATACAGTACATCTTTAAAACAGTGAGTCTGTGTATGTAAGAAAATAAAAAAAGTGCCTTTTTTAGATTAGCCATGTACTCAAATTGATATGGATTTATCAACTGCTAAATTAATGTTGGCTTATTCTCGCACCAATCAGCTTTTTTTAATGTTCCGAGTCAGATTTTCCGCATTTACACATTTGTGCAACAGGTACTGAAGCAATATTTCTTTAATTAAATAACTGATAAGTTGATAGCTGTTACTAATACCAAATTAGGTTAGGAATGTCATGAGTCTTAAAGGCTAGATCAATACTATTTAATATGTCGTATACTGGCTTTTATTCAACTTTTGTCCTTTATAACGCTCATTCAGTATTATTTTCAGCTCCCGTATAACCTTTAAGCCTTTTAAAAAACTCACTATAAAAGCAGAATCCCAATTAAACATAATTCATCTCCACAAAGCGACACTGTAAAAGCCACAACATGCAAAGACGGCCAAAACAATATACTCACATTTAATTGCGCTCCCGGGACGAGCTGATTGTTCAACAAGTTATTTACAGCATTTGCTTAATGGATTCTCACTCGGAGCTGAAAGCCTTTTCTATAGTGTCTTTTTTTGCTCTAACAGTGGCAAAATGATCTCGTGGCAAAAGAAAAGAAGTAACGCTGACGCATGACGCGTGAATTCACCCGGACACCCGCGACGTTTCTGTTTGCTCCAACTTTCCTTCAACTTTTCGGTGTCACTAACTAAGCGTATTTTCATCCGATTGTCATATCTTTTCTCTCGCTCACTCAGGACTTTTCCGAAAATCGACTGTGGTCCATTCAAGACTTTACGCAGCGTTGCTGCTTATTGGCGCTGTGTTCATCGGAATGGCGCACAAAAAAAAAAAAAAAAAAAAAGAAGACCCCACGCTCCCTCTAGCAGCCACATCAGCTGAGAGAAGTCACTTCGTTGTCCCCAGATTGATGGAAGTACATCCCGAAGCAGAGCGACTCTTGGGGGACAGGTTGCCAAATTTCTCAGCCCAGGCGACTTGCGAACAGAGGAGAGAGGAGAGAGATAAGCATCTCTCTGAAATGGAGCCACAATGTCCAGTTTCACGCGAACGCTCCGCCGGGTCCTAAAGATAATAGCGACAGGCAGTTGAGGCTAAACTCCTTTTCTTTCTTCAAAAGACTGCTGTGATTAGTTCACATTTCTGTGCAAAATGTGCGCAGAGTACTGCTAAACTTTGTTTTATGTTTGCTCTTTTTCAAACTTACAAACGCAATTTAGTTTTTTTTAATTATTATTATTAGCTTTTTTTTAAATATTGATTCATGATTGTTTATTAATGGCTATTATTTCGTTTCTTTATGCATTAATTCCGTGGAGTACATAGGACTTACAGGAAAACGCAGAGATGCATGTGTGATCATCAGTAATGTTCATACGTATGCAGCGAAGTCCAATAGGAGCGAATGCGTTCCAGTACTATATGAACGTGAGCGGCGACCAGCCCACAACAGTTGTATGCTTCACGGTGTTTAACTGCGTGTTATCCCGGTAAAACCCATGAGTAAACTCAAAGTGAGTTTGGGTTATTTTCCAAACATAAAAATAGAAACGGAGTAAAGCTATCCAAAAGAAAACGCGTGTCCTAACCCAGGCATTGGACGTGCAAGTTCCAAAAACGATCGGAGAGAGTGTTTAGAAATCAGTGAAGATTCCTTAGTCTTATTTAGGCTGGAGTCTGATCTTTTCCATTCGCGCTGATCACCCTTTCAGATCACAAACACTCCTTGTTTCGTGCATAACGCCTTAAGACTCAATGCATTCCAGGACAAACAACAACAAGGAAAGAAAGAAAAAAAAAAAAGCTCTTACCTTGCATGTGAGTGTATAGACATTCAAGCTTAACAAAACCCGATCAAGAGCGAGAGAGAGAGAGAGAGAGAGAAAAAAATACTGTCCTGAATCTGTAGAGTAATTAATCGGTGGGTTTTTTTGGAAGCAGCGCCGAAAGAACAAGTAGGCGCGCCTGCCGGGCTCCCTTGGCGCGGAGTCACAGATGTCACCCTCTCCCACTACAGGGTGCCGAACAGCGCGGCGAGCAGCCATGCTGACAGCTCGCTTTGAATACGCATTTTAATTGTGCCGTAATGCCAAACTGCTGCAGATTACCACACGATAAGAGCAGCCGCGCCCAGCTGAAGGTCATCACAGTCACTGAGCAAGATCCGTATCCCACTCTTTGGTGCTGCTGCATACATTTCCAAACTACACGGGTTCTTAGCAGAATAAGCAACTCTTTTTTCGTTTTATTAGACCTTTGTCTTTGTAGGTACTTTTGTGCCTGTGATCTTCTTAACCAGATACTGTAGAGTGCTTAAATACAAAATCCACCAAGCTTTCGCTTAGAAAAAAAAAAAAAAAAACACGGTTGTTTTTTTTAAGTTTTTTCAGCACCATGCACAGCTTCATGTAGCCCACAACCATTGTAGTTTGAGTTTGAGTGCATTTAAAAAAAGTTTGTATTAATTCAGTTGAGATTCAACAAACTTGTTAGCTGTTTTTGTATTTGTCTTTTCTATGTCTTCTTTATATTTATTTAATTTTTAACTGTATTACTCTGTTTTCATACATTGCTTCACTGCATCCTGTTATTTAATCTCATGCTTCATTGTTTTATAAAACATATTATTTTTTACATTTGTTTTTATTACTGTTGTGCTGCACTAAAACATGTTATTTTTTTGTGAAGGTGACACACTCGACCTGCGATCTTTACTGATTTTTTACTTTTAAAACCTTACCAGGTTTTAAACCTCCATCACTGAGGTGGAACTCAGTTCAGAGCTGCTGTTCTTCTTAATCAAAAGAAGCCAGTGGAGGATGTCTCCGACTCTGATTATCATGTGTCTCTGGGAGGAGTGCTCTGGGTAAATCCAGAATCCTTTGGCCAATGGATGCCTTAAGATCCACTGAAATGACAGGAGAGTTAGGATAAAGAGAGGGATGTATGGGCCTCCCATGGACTAGTTAAATCCATTGGTGGATTTACCTACATCATAAGATCAGCTCCTGAATCATTGGGCTAGATTGATAGATCGATAAATAGATGGACAAGTTTCCATACAACCATCACTGACATGGCATATTAGTTTGGGATTAATATCACTTATCTTTATCCATTTAAAAAAAAAAAAAAAAAACCTGTTTAATTATTTGTGAGGGATCACTGACCTGTTGAACCTTCAACTGTCTTCAAGTTTTTTATATTCCACCCACATTGTGTAATGCAAACCACTGTATGCATTAAACAACACTCTCACCATGCCTAATAGTTGGTAGAGTGTTCCTGGATTTGAAGAGTCATCCTGACACCCTAAAAGCTATTTAGTTTAATTTTTGTTAAATTCCTTAATCTTTCGTTAAACATTCCTCAAGTTCAACATTGGGGTAGTGTAATGGACCCAATGGCAGCCCAATCTGAAATTTGATGCCAAGGCCTAGAAGGCAGGTCCAGCTTAAACTGTCAAATGCCTTGCTTCAAAATTACAGATGAAATAAATTCATATTAGTCCATAAAATGCTTGTTCATTAAAATGACTGAAGTTGCTTGGTGTATGATCATCCCACGCTGGAAAAAGAAAAGTTAAAATGTGTCTTTAAGTGGCCAAACGTAACACGGCATAAATTGTTAACAATGACGACATGCAAACTTCTGACCGGGATTGCAGACAGACAGAATGTCCCTTAAATCCCACCAGGAATCCCTTCATAACTCCTCCACTCCATAACTCATCCACTGTTTTCAGCTGAACACAACAGTGGACGACAAGGATCCAGAGGTGGAGTCTGCCCTCTCACCCTCTGCATGTCCTTTCCCTCTGCGCCACGGAGAGCCCGGGGCTGACAGAGATGGAGGGTTTGCTGTTTCATTCCGCTCCCAGGGGTCTATTGATGGTTTCAAAGTGGAGTCCACCTGCCACAGCTTTAATCATCCGTGACCCCAGCTGCATGTTGGAAGACCAACGAACGGTGGCGGGGGTGGGATCATGCAGTGCCTTTCTTGGATGTGTGAGCAGTCAAGAAAAAGGAAGCGAAGACAGACATAAAGAGAAGATGAAGAAAGATTTGGTACCTGCAGAGTTAAGAATGAGTGTTTTGAGTTTCTGTCTCCGTAGCCAGATGGATGCTTGAAATAACACTGATTTAGATACCACGTATATTTGGAGTTATTTTTTTCATAAGTAATTTATTTGGTCTAAATGTATCATTAGTGTATTTAATTTCAACCAAAAGGTGGAGCACTGTGAATCAGCATGCAGGCACATCTCGTGGCTGCCAAATTAATTCAATTTATTCAAAAGCCTTTCTTAAGGCCAAGGTTGTAATCATGGCTTGCAATTAGATGGGACATAAATATTAGATGACTTCACTTTCCAAGTCCCTATGAAAGGCAAACCCAAGTATTTTTAAGCTGTTGTTGATTTCCATAAAGATATCAGGTGCTAGTGGCTATAATTAAAAGAGAATTAACACACAGTAGTGCACAAGTCTCCAATCTTTAAAGTGATCCATGATTAGTTGAACATGTTGGCCTAGTTATGTTGTAATTTTCCTATTAAATGAAAACTGCTGTTTGTGATATGTAAAAACTCATAATTACTTTAAAAACAATGATATCTTTCATTATATTTTTCACCCATGGAGTCCAAAATTTTTTCATCTGCGCAGTGCATGCTGGGTTGAGGATGCTACAGAGGATGCTCTGTAGATTTCTGTAGTGAAATCTACAGAAATCACTATAGTAGATTTCTGTAGTGAAATCTACAGAGCAAACACAAAAACTGATAAAGGACCTTTAAGGTGGTCATTGACCCTTGAACAGTCATTTTACTGCTTAGTTCCTAAAATTGAGTAGGTAGCACCACTAGGGGGCGTCTCCTCTCTTTTTTTTGTTGTTATCCACCGAGTAAGAATTTTCCCCATGTTTTTTGGTAAGTCAGAAAGGAAGGCGATGATGAGTTACTGAGCGGCGTAACTTCTGTTATTTTTCTCATTTATGAGAAGACAATGTAAGTTTAGTGCCATAGAGATCTGGTTTCGCATGGTCAACGTGAAATAAAGTAAAAGTGTGGGATACTTTACCCCTGAGTTCTACATCATTCTTGTTAGAGTGGCTAACCACCGCTGCTAGCGGTGGTTAGCCAACCTCTCACCGCAACTCCTCACCCCGCAAGATACAACCAAATGGTGTGCAAACAGTTTTTATCCACAAAGCGCCTAAACTCCGCTGCCGGCTAACGAGGGAAAGACGCTGGGAGAAACAGTAGACATAGACAATGCTGGGAACTCTTTTAAATGATAACGGAGATATTGCTACTGCCGCCAGTACCGATTGTGGAACCTGTTACAGAGCTACAGAACAACTTACCAGATCTCACAGTCAAACCAGAGGTAAGTGTCCTTCTAAGGGCAACTCTTTCCTCTTCCTTTGTTTGGGCCTCCTCATTTTTTATACCCCTTGTGATTTTTATGTTCCATCAATTTCAAAGCACTCCTGTTAAAATCTAAAAGGCCTAACGCTGTTATTCTTTGCTGTTTTTGGCTTGACGAGCGCAATCACACCAAGGATACACCATTTACCCAAAATGCAATGCAGTTTAAACAACATGGCGATGTCCATGTGGCAATTTTATTAAAATTTATAAAAACAAACAACCTACATTAATATCTCTGTATTGCTTTTACAACTGAAATAAATATTTCTCAAATAAAGTCTATTATTACAACTAATAATAGATCCCCATAAGGTCTTTTACCTTGTCCTGTACATTTTCGTAAAGTAGCTGTGGCTATCCGCAGGTTCTCCAGACACTATTTATATACTAGGCGAATTTTTAGCAGAATAGTTTACACTTGGTTTAATTTAGGGGTATAAGAAGCAAAGGAGGCTAAAGACAAAGACATGCCACACATTTCAGATTTGTATTTGTGAAATCTATTGAAGACCATCTATTATTGTTTATCCAACTAATAATTTTGCACTACTTTATCTAAACCCCAATTTAACCAAACAGAAAATTGTAGCTATAACAGATGTAGGATGTAGGCAACATAGTGGCAGCTCGTCAGCCAGAAAGGCACAAGTGAATTTGAGTGCAAAAAAAAGTTCTGTGTGCAAGGAATATTCTGTGCTTTCTGGGGAGTAAGAAAG